AAATGAAATTCAGAGGAGAGATACATCTTGGAAGTGGTTAATAGTGAAGTACAACTTAATTTTTTTATGCTTAAGCATCGATGATCGAATTAGGAAGAAGTTGCTTGTAGAAATCAATTCCGATTACTCTCAGAGAGATCTGATGTGAACCAGAACCAAATGCAATGCTGAGAAAACACTGTACACCTTCGACAGAATTAGGCTCATATATGCAAATCCGGCTGAACGTACAATTTTCTTCAAATTCCGTCACAAGCCAGTTTACACCGTGCTTCTTCGGCCAAGATTCCAATTTTACGCCATCCATCATTCCCCATTAAACCCTCGCGACACCACACCACGATCTTCCACGTCCCAATAACAGTCGTTTCACCTCGAAATTCCATGAAATTCAGACTTTCTCCCATATTCATCACCTGAATTTCTGTCATCATTTCCACCCCGAGACACTACATAGAGTTCCACTAGAACATCCAAAGACTCTTCGTCGTTGATGTTTAATACAGAGGAAGAACGGGCTTGTTTCACGGCAATTAACGCCTCGATGGGCGGCGTTTTCCCCGACGGCTGCGCTTCCGGAAAAGCGGCTGCATCGGCGCCTGGGCCACAGGCGAGAAACGCCACAGAGGCCTGTGGTCGTATAATTACAGCGAACGGGGAATGATGAATCGTTCGAAATATTTTGTGGAACATCATTGGACGCGGGTTACGGGCGTCGTTAATTCATCGCGCGCACGGTCGCTCGCGCGGAGGCCCAGGCAGATAAATGCGTGCCGGACCGACGGTGGAGTTCGAGCGTTATAAATGACGTCCGTATTCATAATTTTCGAAAGCCAACGCCCAACGGCGTTGCCTCTGGATTATCTATTGGCTGGACGAGACCGCGTATCACATCCCCTTTGCCGATAACTACCCCCCAGGAGAGGCGAATGGACCGTTCACCGTCGAATTTTTCGACGAAGCGTCGCAACGCATTGGTTTGCGGTGTGGAAGGGTGTATTCTCGATTCTGTCGACCGAGAAAATTACGAGCAGACGATTCTGAAGATGAGCAATGGGCTTGGGAGATGGTTGGGAGTGTATGTTGGGATATTGCCAGTAGCCAGTATTTAATGTCGCGGAGATATATAATTCATACGTTGAAGAGACTGTGAGGGATGCTTCTGAAGTACAGAGACACACGGAGTATAGTTGGAGTATTGTCAGCCGTACAGAATTATGCGGATACGTTGTTCCTCTAATTCGTTCGGCATGATCACCAATTCATAAACGGAACGACGGAACAAATAGGAATACAATCCCACAAAGTGCGCAACGCTCGCAAGACGCGAAAGGAAAGGTGTAATGGATGTACGGGAAAGTTCAATGCTCACGCGACAGTGAGTCAACGCCGTCCATTTACAAATTGAATTAATTACACGGGGCGTACTGGTCGGGAGGCTTTACGCAGAGAAACAACCAATAAATTCAGTTCCATGATCGTACAAAGAGAACCGATAGAAAAATTTCATCTCTACAGATCCTAATTAGACCTTACCATGGATCACCGAGATGAATATACGATACAGAGGGGCAAACTTTCGTCGAATTCGATCGCCCATGACCGCGATACCGCCCCCTCCCCACCCCTCAGGGGAGGAAAAAACTCGTTCGCCACGTCTAATCAGCGAGCGGACCCGTGAGCGGGTCCCGAAGAAACGCGGCGCGCCAAGAAAATTCGTAACGGACGGTCTTTGGAGCCGTGGTCGGGAGAGAACGGCAGGTAATTGGTCTCGCGCTACGCGAACGAAAAACAGTAGAGGACGAGGACAGGAAGAAGCGAAAGGGGGCGCGTTGCTGCTACTACGGATCGAGCCAGCTAGAATGAGAAAGACAGAGAGAGAGAGAGAGAGAGAGAGAGAGAGAGAGAGAGAGGAAGAAAGAAAGGGATAGGATGGAGAGACAGGAGGCGAACGGTTTGTCGTTATCATCCGCAAAAACGGCGAGAGTAGATGACGCTGGCCAGGAAGCTGGGTGTGCCAGGGCGTACCTAACAAGGGCAGTTTTTACCCCGTAGCTTGAATGCATTATGGATGGCCCCCGAGTCATGTATGACTCTATCATGTGCCTCTCGAGTCCCCGTTGTACGCTCCGAAAAGAAGCACTCCACCATGCTTCACACACACCCCATTTTTGACTCGCCATTTAGGCCGGATGGAAGCCACGACGGAGAGAACAACCACACCTGAGGGCCGTTCTCTCCTTCCTTGACTTTCCTACACGGCGAGAGACCACGCTCCCGTAATGGTCTTACGGATTTCTTTCTTGGAAACGGCGCGAGTTTCTCATTACGCGCTGACCGGTGTATTATTGCCCGGTGGAAGTTCGAGGGCTTCGCTCCGCTTTCCGCTACTTTGCTTCGGTCCTTTCCGGACGATGACTGCAGAGGTGTAGGGATGATGCAAAGACCATTGTGAATTAGTAAACTGATAGCAGAAATAGGTCTAGAAATCCTACAAAAGTAACCTATATACAATGTCACCAGATCAGAAAAACTGTATAGCCTCCTCTACACAACCTTCAGAAATTCCTACAATTGGAGAACACCAGAGGTTCAATAATCCGAGTCCAACATTTAATTCCCGAAGCAACTGGTTCAAGAATCGAAGATACACACGCACAATTTACCGTTCGTTCACCGATCCCGAAGAAAGCTTGGGTCGCGCCGAATTGAATCGTCGTCTCCCTAATGGAAAACGCACCGTAACCCGCTGGAGGATCGCAAGAGCGAGCGGTTCGCTCGGGGGCCGGGGTAAAAATTTTAATTGGGCCCGAAGGTACACGTGTCAACGGAGAAACATACGAAAGCCGCGAGAGCCGAGGAAAGGTATCGTTTAAGAGGCCGGTACAAACCGGGGACCGCGCGCCGTTAAGGTAAAATCGTCAATTAAGTCTAACCAGGCGTGGATGTTAGGCGCTGCAGGCCACGAGGTGGGGCATTGCTGTGGCGGTGCGTTCCCTCTGCTAGATCGATTCTTGAATCGAAAACTGGCATTGTTGAATCGACCGATTATTTCGCGGCTGTTGACGTATTAACCCTGCTACGGTCCTTGGTCTAGTTATGAGAAATAAAACATTTACGCCCCTATCGTGCCTATTCGATCCATAAGGGAACGTAAGGGTTCCTCGATACACGCGAGCGCTGGATTCTTTTTACTTCGATGATCGTTAGACGTTAATTGATGGAATATGGGATCCTTGAAAGATGTAGGATAATCTTGCAACATCGTTCTCCCCTCCGATCCGGAGTTACGAACGATCGGTCTGCGCTAGATAGGCCGCCGCGACGTTTGTGTTCTTCATCGCGATCGGCGGAACAGAGTTTCATTGCGACACACAGTGTCCGTCTAACGAGCGATAAAAATCGCCGTTTAGCGTATCGCCAGGAAACGTGAAGGATCCTCCGTGTCCTAATAGCCTAGTTGCAAAGCGATCTCGGCCGATCGAGAGAGGTTGATCGGTTCCTCCGGAGGCATGGCTGATAGGTCTCCAGAGGGGCTCTCCGCCGAGCGGAATTCTGCTTGACGTTTGTGGAACGAAATCAAGGAAGCTGGTGATCTACTGATTCATACGGTCGAAGGGTAGCGAGGATGCTGGGTGAAACTTCACCGCAATTCGATTGCCATTTCTCGCGAATATAATGTGATCTCGATATATCGACAAAATGAGTCGACTTAAAGATCGTAGAAGTTATCAGAAGGCTGACAGAAATCTTTCTGTGCATAGAAACCTTCGTTCTCTCAGAAGATAAGTGTCGTCCAAACCAGAGTTGGGCAGAATTTTCTTCGAATAGTACATAATGAAATGCGACTCGTTTAAGAAGAAATGTTATTTCATTACATAACAGAAATAGGAATTTCCACGTTTGAACGATTAAAAATGACGAAGAACTTTTTTTTATCTTTGATTTGTTATTCGAAACTCTGTATCTAAGTAATGAATTAGCACATCTCTGGTCTAAGTGACGTCGAGCGACAGTGTATCTCTAGCGAGAACGGGAAAAGGCTTTTCCGAGTTGACAACTTTCGAGTTAGCAGCCTTCAATTACATACTGCGTGCGGCGAGGAGAAGCGGTGCCAAGGGGGTCGAATACTTTAGCACGTAATTCCGATAATAACCGGGTTCTCGCGTGATCGCCGCGACGCTAATATGGAGCGTTATGGGCCTGCGTGCCACGGATGTCGTGCGAGTTGCGCTGAGACCAGCAGCCCGGCCCTAGTACCTCCTAATCATCAACATTGTAAGCCGACCGCCCCGGGAAATCCTCGCCGATATGCGGGCAAAGAAACGAGAGACTAACGATTCACGGAGGTGAGTTAGTTACGCCGTGACCCGTAAATCGGCATGATAAGTAGCGTACCCGACGCACGGCTAATATTCTAACGAGCGTCGCCATTGCGATGGCTTTGATGCTGGTGAATAATGGGAGCCAGGTTTGGTCTCGAATCGGTGGGCCACCTTTCCGTGGTCCGTCTAAATTTCGAAGCGTTTACTCGTACCGGTTACCATTTTGCACGAGCTTTGTGCACGACATCCATCGCGACGCCCCAACCACTTAACCAGCTTCGCGTTTCGTCCCCTCGAAGATTATGCCCTGTTCTACAATCGTATAAATGTCCGTGTCTCCGAGGCCTGTCTGCGCAGCAGCTCGATAATGCGACCGCCTAATACGGATTATACAGAGTACGAGATTTTGCGTACATAGAACGATCAAGAGAGTCGTTAAAGGAGATCTTAACTGTGGGGGTAATTGCGTCCGCGACGATCGATTCGGATGTAAAATCACGCGAGTAATTAGGGCTGGTAAGCTGATCGAGATGTTGAACTCTCGATAACATTTTTTGCATCGTTTATAAGGTCGGCCTCTGTGGTTGAACAATTTTTCAAATTCTCGTCGGTCGATACACCCGCCGGTGGTGTTTAGAATTTCAAGATCCAGGAGAAACGATATCGTGCGCTTACCGTTTGGACTGGTGGGTCCTCCATGGGGCGTGTAAAGATGCCCGTGAGGATTGTGCGGGTGAGGCGGTGGGGGTAGCCACGCGAACCCCGCGAGGGAATGCGGAAATCCCGCGGGATTCCAGCCGGGAGCACCGGGTGCACCGGCCAGGTAAGGCGGTCCCTGGGACGACCTCTGTACACCGGGATGAATCGGCTGAGGCACTACCGGGCTGGACTTCTCCTCCTTCTCCTGGTTACTCTCCATGTCCCTCTCGAGTTCGCAGTCCGAGTCCATCACGTTCAGATCCTCGGACTGGCCCACGCTTCTGATCTCTTGATCCTCGAGATCGAGATGATCGGTGGTTCGGTCGCCCTCCAGGGAACGATTCGCCTCGGAGTCGCTACGATCGTCCATGATTTCACGTCTGCTAACCGGCGACACGGATCGTGGATTCGCGATCCTGTCGATTCTCTCGTCCTCCTCCTGACCGCGTTCCCGTTGGATCATCGATTCGGCGATTCGATTGGCCGGCGAACTCGCGGACAACCGTCGATCGTCCCGATCCCTCTGAGCCTCCTGGTCTATTCTAATCGGCGAGGAGGATTTGTCGTGGCTGGTAGTTCTGGAGAAATCCTTCACAGTGAGGATCTCCTGCCGGCCAGCCGACGGATGATCCTGGTCCAGTCTGCTCGTAGGATGATGATGATGATGATGATTGCCGAACGTAAGACCGTGCGGGCTCAGTCTCGCCAACAACTCTCTGCTCTGTAGCCTTTGTTGTTCCATCAACAACTCGCGGTATCTGGCCTCTATGTCCAGGCTCTTCTCAGACTCCAATCGATCCTCACTCTCTCGTCTGGCAAACGCGCCGCCGGTAACGGCTGTCTTCTTCATGTCGCTCAGCAGGGAGTCCACGCTAAAGCTAATCTTGCCGCTTCGCGGTTTCAAGTTCGACGAGGCGGACGTTGGCGTTGCCATATCGACGTCTTCGCAGAGACGATCGCTACCGGTACTCTGACCTGTCACAACCCCCTCGCTGCTGCTCATGATGTGTTTTTGTTCTTTAGCGTTTGGTCAACGAGTCTCGAGTTAGCGGTTGATCTTAGTTTTCTAGAGTAGCGTGAATGTTGGACTCTATTTTCGGTTGGCTTAGAGAATCTACGAAGAGACTTCAGAGATGATCACTCGAACTAATTGTACTATATACACTTTGTTACCGCGACGTCACTTTTTTAATACATGTATGAATTGGTCTGTTTTGTTACAATTGTTCATCTACCACCAACAACACCATTGATCAACCGAGAGGTCATCGTCCTTTTTTCTTTTTACTGTCAGGTCCGTCCGCGTTGACCCGAACTGTTAAACATCAACGCGACAACCAACAAAGATCTGTCATCGCAGCTAACCGCGGAGATCTTCGATCTGGCCGTTTATCAGCTCGCAATCGCTTCCAGTATCATCGGGAATGTTCACGGACTGCCATCCTGGCTGATTCCGGAGCCCGTTATTCTCGGAATCCGCCGCGTCGTCGCGGACCGACCGAGCCGGCACGAGCGGATCCCCCCATTAGAGTCAAAGCAGTTTCTTTACGAGATCAACATGACGGTCCGGTTCCTTCTAGGTCTCTTGACTCAAGCGGCCAACATTATCCCGATGTTGATAATCGACGACCTCCCTACAAGCCCCTTTCTGTCCTGTTCGAAGATGAAGAATCTTGTTGTACTCGAACCAGGTGAACTATTCGAACGACAATCGATTATCTTCTCAGCTTTGGATTCAGCTCTCGAAATGTCTCTGCATACCACCAGTAGTCTGCGACACTGTCACTGCGTCAAATTCATGCTCGTGATTCCCGTGAAACGTATCAGGTAGCCTGGCCCCCTTGGCATCGAACACCAGACTCCAGTGATAAAGTCCATCAGAGCCTGATCAACGCCAACGATAATTCCCTCCTCGAGTCGAAGCTTCGAATTCCCCCACAATATTCGTCCTCTCTGTATCGATAATTCGCGTTCAAGAAAGCAAACGGAGAAAAGTCGCACCGTATTACGTCCTCGCGTACAGTCCCCCAGCACTGTCACAACCCGCGTCACAAACCGTCGGATACGCGCGGCGGGGGGGTTTTAGGTGTGTAATCTGCGTAATCTGCCGCCGCGTGGTGGCCACTGCTGCCGCGGAAACGACACTGATTACCAGCTTGGCTTCGGAGAGGCCTGCCGAGGCAGGCGTTCTCTCTCTTCTCGGTGGCGGCCCGGCGTCGCGGTGGTGTGCCGCCGGGTGTACGCGCGCCGCCCCCGCGAAACCCGTGGAACCGGTACCGTGTCCTCTCCTCGGCCAATGCGGACCACTCCAGTCACACCACAGACCTAACCCGGACCCCTTGAAAGTAGGCGTGCCACGAAGAGTCGGGTTCGTCCAATGGGCGCCTCCACGGTTCGTTCGACTCCTCTCTCCCTTCAACCCATATAGACCTAACAGCACGGTCCTCGCGTGCGCAACGGTCGCCAGATGGCGCTACGAGCTTCTGGCAGCGACACGCTAGAGTCAGCCGACGCGCCAGCGCGTGGGGATGAAATGGTAGTCCTGGTGGGGGAAGGTCGACCGAAGGGGCTGAAGCGGAACGACGACGCGAAGCGAAGCGGGGGAACGGGATGATGAGGCAACTGCTCGGGGAACGTGACGACTCCTAATTGTCTAATTCCCGGGCGCGATGCGCGAATTGATTGGCAATCCTCGTTGCGTCCTACGTGCCGGTGTACAGAGTGCGCTCGCGCGCGCACGGAATCCCTCTGTTTCTCCTGACTGCCCCTTCACCCCCTCTTCATCACTCCCCTGCTAGGCTTGACGGGATAATGACGTTGTCGGGATGTCGCTGTTTGGTGTAGCGCCGCCAGCTTTTTCCTGGAAAAAATTTTCGCGGTCTACGGGTGTGCGTGGAACGGGGGATGATTCGACGCGGCGCTCGAGCCTGGGATTGGAGGTATTGAAGGGTAAATGATTGATGGAAATTGGAAGCTTGATTGGCAGGTTTTCGATGTACTTGTTGTGGATTTCAAACTGGTGGTTCGGTCTACGCGGGAAATGATGGTGGTGGGTGGTAGCGATTATAGGCTTGGAGCTTCGTGAAATGGGGGTAAGATCGCGGGGATGGGGTGATAGTAGGAGAACTCGTCGAAAATTGCAAGGTTTTCTTTTTTGGTAGACTTGTCTCGGTGCCATTTGTACTTTAATTTCTGTTTAAATACTAATTGTTCCGATAAAGGATCTTCCAGCAATCCTCTAATGGAGATATTAGAGCGAATCAAAAGGTTACTTTATCTATTGTCATTAAACTCCTAAACCCTTCGTATCTTGTCAAGTAATATGAAATAGTTAAGGTAAGAAGAATAAATACCACCTGGATTAAAAGTTAAAGACCGTTATAATGAAATTAATTTCGACCGGTAACGAGTGAATCCTCGTCAAAGGGCTGATAAACCGCCCGTCGAGCCTGTCGGCTCGCAGACTCCTCGCGATGTTATACACCGGGCGAACAATATTTTAGGATTAAAGTAATCCGATTGGCAGGTTGTCGGTGATAGTCCGGAGTGACAGCTAAAACCCATAGCGACTTGTGGGAGGGTCTAGAAGAGGGAAGAAGAGCAGACTTGGGAGTCAAGCCGATTAACCAAAATCTTGTTACAACTGCACGAGAGGAAGCCATGGGGTGTCCTCCGGATAGAAGCCGTCGAACGTGAAGGATCTTTTTGGGGAACAATCTTCGAGGGATGGTTTGAAACTTCGTTTCGAGTATTATTTCCCGAAAAGGTTATTTATCCAAACTACAACTCATAAAAACCTGTGATTGTCCGATCACGAGGATTATTCGAGGATTAATAATTCAACAGACTTTTCCGAAATTATTAATTTACCGCTAGTCCTCAACCCCAAGCAACAGCCGCGATGTCATCCCTCAGGACGATAAAAGGCGACATCTTTTCCAATTACCAGTGTCATCAGCGTCATCGTCGCCGAGAACCTCGCCCCGAATCACCGGGATCAGGCTACAGCTTGTCGTCCTATCGGAGCGTAGCGTTGGTAAGCACACCACCACCGTTCCTCGCCCCCTGTCCTCTTCAGGAAGGAGGAGTAACCTTCGCTCCGGGACATTTCCAAAGCCGTTTGCACATTAGCGGGGAATAAACGACACCGAAATATAGCGTGGATGCGCGATCGCCATAATAGGAGCGCCGAGTAGTCTATTAAGCGTCCTCAAAACCAGTTAGTGAGTCGGCAATCCAGTTTAGGTACAAAATGGCTGTCGTTTAGCGAGGATTAATGGTCTCGGGAGTGCCCCGGGGCAGCATAATGGGGCAGATGCGTCCTGGATGAGGGGGAACGGATCCCCCTCCATGCCTCTCAGTCGAGTCCCTTCTCTCTCTGACTCTTTCTGTCCCCTACAGCACGACGACAGCCACCCCGCTACCTATCCTCCCTTACTCCACCCCTCTGCTAACCTCATTATGTACACCTATCTGGCTACGGGGTCCATTATGCCCTTTTTGCGCTTTTCTACGCGCACCGGAATAAATACACGCGTTTCCGCCCGTGTATAAGTGTGTGTACGTGTGCACCATCGCGGGCTAAACCGTCGCACCAGGATACAGCGAAGTGTGTAAGGGCATAGAGATGGCACTCCCGAGGGGAGCTCTGGGGTCTCATATTTGGGCCTCGAAGCGCCGTTTAGTTTGGCGTTTCATGGTCGAGCGACTCCCCTAGCCTGATACGCGCCGAGACGCTGTGCTCGTCTCGTTTCGACGCTCCTGGGAGCAAACTGCAAAGTCGTTTTGTAATCGACTCCACTCTGGCGATGCGCGCGCGCGCACGACCCGTGCGTGTGCACCACGTCGCGGCCGAGAGCCACCGGCGGTTTTCGGGACGCCGCGATGACAGAGATTTAGAGAGCGGCGTTCGCCGCGGTGAATTAGCGAACGTGGCGACGATTTAAAAATCCTAGGAATCCGGATCGATCGGGATGGTCGCGAGAATCGAGAGCAGCAACGGGAGGATTCTCTGAATGTCAAACATTTCAGGCTGAATCGTAGTAGTGAACGAACGTTTTAGCTTTTTAATTGGACGACCAGTACCTACAGGGTGTTCCAGAAGAAAGTTCTATCAGAACATGGAATCGAAACTTATTGTTAGAGGTACTTATTGCCCAAACTATTTCAGCAATAAGGATGTAGTACCATTGCCAACTGGGCAATATGTAACGGTCAGTCAACAAGTTACCGATTTCGTTTCTATTCTTTTTGCTTGTGAACAACGACACAGAGCTGGCTACGGACTTTTTGCACCGAGTAGCAGCGCGGTATACCTCTGGGACGCGTCTAGGGGTGCGTCCTGCAGCGTCGGGGCCCTTAATCCGGGCGTCTCTGGGGGCCGCGTAGCCCGAAATTCGCACCACGCCTACAGTTTAACGAAATAATGCCGGTCGTTTAAAAGGTACAATGGAATCTTAAATACCTGGCCCTTTCTCGTGCAAGGCACCAGCAGCAGCTGGCCAGTACCGGAGTTTCTGCAGGTGACTAACTTACTCCGCCTCGTTCCGTTTCTGCCTTCGTGATCTCTGGTCGATTCGAACGCTCCGGTGTAGGGATTTACAAGTTGCATTGAACGAACTCCTTCATGGACGATGCGTTCCAGCCTACTCAAACGTGGTTGAACAATTTTTAACTGGCTTAAATTTTTTAACTAGACGTACAATCGAATTCATTAAATACTGAGTAGACGTGTAGATATGTAAATGAAAGAAATAGAGGAATGCATATTTTGCAACGTGGTAAAATAATGTTTGCACGGTCTTGGGAGCGCTCACGAGCAAATCGGAGGTCGCAGGTTCGCGACAAGGGTGCTCGATGTTTTCGGATTAGACAACGGAGGGGAAGGGAGCGAGAGGATCGCAAAGAGGATTTACAGTGGGCGTACATGCGACAGAATTGGCCGTCGCGAAACATAGGACACAAAACGCACCAGCTCTCTCTCTCCTGCTCCTTGGGAAATCC